CACTCGGCGGAGCCGGGATCGTTGCCGGGCTCGCCATCTACGGGTAAGTCGGGGTCCTCGAGCAAGGACACCGGCGGCTGATGATGGCACGGCCTTGTTCATTCAATGCGTGGAACAAATCGATTGTGCCAGCCAGCTCCATCCGTCGTATGGTACAGCAGGGCGACAGCCTTTTTTCGTGTACCCCCGTGGCAGCAATCAAGCTACCGCCGTAGGTGACACATTGCCGGGGTTTCCATCTATACGGGTAAGCAAGGATTAGTGATGAAACAAATATGCCTACCAAAAAATGTGTAGTGTGATCTATGTAGATTTCGTGCTCGCACTACCCAAGCGCAGGAGGGGTGGTGGGAAAGGGGGCCTCGCGGAGAGGAACCCTTCTGTGTGACCACGGGCAGTGGTAAAAAACGGCACGAATGCTGTGAGCGCTGATTTTTGAAGTGGAGAAAAAAAAAAAAACTGCCCAAGCGCCCCAAGAAAAAGAAGGGACGCGCGAGGTCCCCTCCACATGTTCTATCCCCCCCCTTAGGATGAATGATGATCATGACATGACCGTAGTAGTCAAGCACATATGCCTACGAAGCATCTTTGTTGCAGTGCGTTCTGAAGTTCGTCTTCGGGAATGAGTGCAACCTGTATCATATCACAGCCCCCTGGACCGATTTTCGGAGCTCGATTACTCCACAAAGACGAGGATGCCGAAATTGAAGCATACGTTTCCACAAAGCTCTCGACGGGACGGTTCCAACGCCGCCATTTTCGGCACCGTCACTGCTTTTTTCCTGCCGATATATCGGGCTTCGGAAATCGGTCCAGGGGGTGTGATATCTTACGCAACCTACGGTATACGTGCGATGTTGCCATCTACGTTTAAGCTTGCCAAGCAGTCAGGCCAAGCTCCCTTTTTTACCGCTGTTTCGCCGTACATTGAAGGTGACGACTGCTGTTTTCGTTTTGTCCATAGGTATGTAATCCAACAGCATTTTTTTTTATTTAAGATACTGCTGTGTGTTCTGTTGCGTGGAGTGCACCACTCAGTGTAAGTATTTGGTTTGGAAAGGCGGCGTTTTTTACCACACTTGTTTCCGTGTTTCCGTACAGCAAACCAAAGCAAAAACGGAAGGGCCTAGGCAATCGCCTGCGGACTTACAGCAGTGACGCAAGTACTGTTTTGGATTCGGTAAGGCAACGATTTGTTTGACACGCTATTTAGTTCCAGTAGTGTAACCCAAACCGGCAACAGAAGAAAATAGGCAATCGCCTGCAGTACGTCTTTCCCCGCTGGAAATGAAGCATCAAGCCGCTCTGGTAATGTAATTTCATGATGCGCTGGATGAGGGTACTCACGAGCTCATCCCCTCGCGTTGTGCCAGCATCAAGTAGTGAGCGATGTAGAAGCATCGAGTTTTTGGAAGGTGGCGATGTTCACCACACTACATGTAGTTTCAGAATACTGCTGTAATAACAACAACCTGGCAACAGAAGAAACTAGGCAATCGCCTACAGTAGCTCGGAGAACAAACAGCCTACATACTGCCGTCCCATTTTTTGGCTTCGGGGAAAAATAGATGTTTTTCGACGGTCTTGCCTTGGATACCGTAGGTTGCATGATGCAAGATATCACACCCCCTGGACCGATTTTCGAAGTTCGATACATATATCGGCGGAAAAAGCGGTGAACATGGCGGGAGGCGTTGGAACCGTCTCTTCGAGAGCTTTTCCCGAAAAACACATGCTTTGATTCCGGCATCCTCTTCGTCGTGGAGAAGTCGAGCTTCGAAAATCGGCCCGGGGGGGGTTGATATCTCACGCCATGCAACCGACGGTAACCTTGCGTGATCGGGGCATGCACCAAACAAAACCTACCTGATTGAAAACGGTGAAAAAAACACTCGAACACGGTCCGTCCAAGAACACAAAACGACTTCTCCATCAAACTGCTAACATTCAGGACGGACCTATACTGGTAATGAGAGGCTCACACAAGGTTCATCCTGAACCAGAACTCTGGGGTTCGTCTGGGGAATTTACGCAGAGCGTGGATCCGCACGAGGAGGGAGGACTTGGCCCTGTAGTCGTACCGGAAACGGAATATCGCATATGGAATCGAGTACCGCATACGGAACCGGAATTCCGTGCACGGAACCGGAGTACCGCATACGGAACCGGAATACCGTGTACGGCACCGTAGTACTGCATAAGGAGCCGGAATACCGTGTGCGACACAAGATAACAACTCACCAGTTTTGGTTTTCCAGTTGTTTCCGGTACAAGCACCTCACAACATACCGTTGCTGACCCTTTTTTTTTGTTTTTGTCTTCACTTCAAATCAAGAGTGTGCAACACTCTTTCCCTGTCATTATACAATGTACCGTTGTTGAGAACGATACAAACTCCAACTCCTCTTCTTCTTCCTCTCTTGAATCGTGCTCAATGCCTGGCCTACTTTACCACCATGTAACATCAGGTACAAGATTATCGCCGCAATCGGCGTTAAGATCGCCAAGATCACTCCGTCCCGTGGTTTCGCGATCGAGCTCGGTTCCGCCATGACGGTAATCTTCGGCACCCGGCTCGAGATCCCCCTCTCCACCACCCATTGCCAGGTCAGAAATCATCAGTACTTTCATGCTTGTCGGAATAATGTCTACTGCTGTTGCGTCCTTTTGCTTGTTAGACATCCCGGGGTACTGCTGTTTTCTGCCTTGTTTGCGTTCTTGGTGGCGGTACTGCCGCCGACTGTTTTTTGTTGTCTCGTGATTTTTTTTTTTCTGTGTTGTGAACAAACACATATCCACAATCCCCCCCCCCCACGGCCTACTTTTTGGTGGAAGTACGGCCACCGATTGCATTTTTTGTTATCTTTGAATATTGTCCGCCCCCCCCCCTGATTCTTCTCTTTAGAAGCCTGAAAACCGTCCAAGCGTTTGAA